AGTTACCCACCCTGTGCCTCCATTCCCCACCTCTAACGCCGCCACCGCGAGCACTACCTAGCCTCCGGGGGCCTGGCCAGCGGAGCGATTTAGTGTGCGCGACGTACGCCAAGAGGCTCGGACACCAAAGGTGCTAGAGACACACGATTATATTACTTCCGTGAGGTGACTTCCGACTGTTGGGCCACGGCTGCTTTGCCACTGAAAGAAAGAAAGAAAGAAGGGGAAAGATACAGAGAGCGCAAATCTCCCGGAGAGCTCCCGTTCCATGGATGTGTGAGTGTGTGTGTGAGTGTGTGTGTGTGGTGCAGCGCACGCAAATCTGCCGGAGAGCTCCCGTTCCATGGATGTGTGAGTGTGTGTGTGAGTGTGTGTGTGTGGTGCAGCGCACGCAAATCTGCCGGAGAGCTCCCGTTCCATGGATGTGTGAGTGTGTGTGTGAGTGTGTGTGTGTGGTGCAGCGCACGCAAATCTGCCGGAGAGCTCCCGTTCCATGGAGCAATGTGTGTGTGAGTGTGTGTGTGTGTGTGGTGCAGAGCGCGCAAATCTGCCGGAGAGCTCCCGTTCCATGGAGCAATGTGTGTGTGTGTGTGAGTGTGTGTGTGTGGTGCAGCGCACGCAAATCTGCCGGAGAGCTAGCTCAGGTCCATGTGCAGGAGTGGCGGTCCTGCCCTGTGTTGCCAGATAGCCATGCTCTAAGACAAGGAGGGTGCAGTGTCGGGATGCACGGGGTACCCCGTCAGAAGGCGGCAGACAGAATTCCAGCAGCGGATACACACACGCTTACAGAAGCAGCAGTAGAACTAAAGCGCCTTTTGTAAGTCGTTCCTCACAACGCCTGAGGCTCCTAGTGCGAGACAAGTGAAGCGACAGTGCTAAGGAAAGGGCTGCCTGAATCCAGAGCAGCGTAATGAACAGACGTGATACCGCTCCAAGGCCTCTCATCAGTTCCTCTTTCCGGCAGTGGTTTCTAACTATTTAGCACTTAAAGGACACTTGACATCTTCCCAGCAGCTCTGAGCAGACATTTCAGGTTCACTATATAACCCGCCCCTGCTATGAGGTAGGTCAGTGTTATATTCCCCTCGTTGCACAAATGGGGAAACTGAGGCACAGAGCAGTTAAGGAATTTGCCCCAGGCCAGCCACACTGTAGTTTGGCATAAGCAGGGTTTTATTTTGGGCCCATCTCAGAAATAAACATATCCAGACATTTCAGGATCTTTATAACTGGAAACAACAACAACCCCACCTCCAATGTGATTCTGTAAAGGAGCAATTCTCAGGTGGGTTGCTAGGCTGCCTGCTGGGAGATCAATTGCTATCCCCCACTATTTTATTACGTAAATTGCAGTCATTACAAGAATAATCCCTCACTTCTATATAGCCCCGTTCATCCGCAGATTTCCAGGTGCTTCGCAAAGGAGGTCAAAATCATTATCCCTGTTTTATAGATGGGGAAACCGAGGCACGGTAGCCCCTCTGCGTCAGTTAGATCATCTCCCCATTGTGCTAAGGGCTGTTCAAAGGTTCAGGAAATGACAGTTCTTCTGAGGATATGTATTGTTTGCAGTGGCACCTAAAGATCAAGGCCACGCAGTGCTAAGCACTGTCCAGACACATCATAAAAAGACAGGCCTGCCCCCAGTTGCCGACTCTCTCACCCCACACCAGAAGGAGCTGCAGCTTCACCGCAAACATACCGGTTTCTTGAGCAGCAATGGCAGGTGCCTTCCTGCGCCCTGTCTCTGCCATCCCGGATACAGCTCGGAGGCACAAACGGAACCGATCCGTTCTCGGGCTGGACTCCCTTCCCTGGCTCTCCCTTTCCCCGCTGGGGAACTACTGCTGAGCCACAGTGCACATGAGGACAGGCGGGGATCTCTGTCAGCTCTGATGCGGGCGAGAAAAGGCCTTTGCAGCGGGATGTTCTCAGAATTGCACAGCGAGAGATGTCTGCTGGCGCCCTGCTGCGGGAAGCGTTAGTCTATCAGCCGAGCTGACAGCCACTGGTCACTTGACACAAAGAGCCCTCACCGAAAGCAGACACCCGTGGAGGAGGGACCGGGGTGGGTGATGGTGTAAACGTATCCCCCACACAAGCTTCACCATAGCCCCAGGAAAGTGATGCAAGATTGATGCCCACTTAGCAACCCCGCAGATCCACGGCAGAGACAACAGCGCTTCCCTGCTCGCTGGAGCCTGACGTCTCTTCTTCCCCAGCTGCTCTCCGAGGGGGTCAGGACACTTTAGATTCTGATGAGCACAGCCAGCAAGGGCAGGGTTGCCTGGTGTGCCGAGAAATCGACACCCGCCCAGCAGGGTTAGGTTGCTGGCCGTCCGCTGGATGCTTCTGGGACTTGGCAAGCGTCAGAGCGGCTGGTGCCTGGGGCAGAGGCTGGCCCTTTGCCTTCGTGAGGTGTGGGGTGGGCACTGCACCCCTTGCCCAGGCAGGATTGCTGAGGGTGGGGAGCCCCAGACCCTGCCCTATGTCAGGGGAGCAGAGTGCCAAGCCAACGGCGCAGGCAGGAGAGTTCATGCGGGTGCAATAAGGGCTCCATTCTGCCCCCGCGGCAGTTGCTGGTCATTTTGGTGTCACCAGCAGCTGAAACGACATCAGCGAAATGCCTTGCAAAGGGAAAGACCCGGGGCCAAACTCCCCGCTGCCCTCAGCCCCGGGGCTCCTTTGCACCAGGGCAAAGTGGGATGAAATGCTGATTCTGAGTGTGCCAAGGATGCAGCAAAGAGAATCGGCACCTAGGCCAGGTTGGGAAAGGGCGGCTGGCAGAGAGCAGAGCACAACGGAGGGCCCGGTGACGCAGCGACCACAGACCTGCGCCGCCGGCCTGGATCAGACTGCAGGGCTACAAAATTACCATGGAGACAGTCAGGGTTGTGCTGGAGCCTGGCTTCTGAGACCCTGCCTGGCAGGAGGGTCCCTGCTCGCCTCAGCCAGCTGGTTCTGCGTTTTATTCCATCTGATCCTGCCCTGGGGTGTGGGCTGTCCAGGCAGCCTGTCTGCAGGCCGGATGCTTGACACCAGCTGTCCAACATGCCAGGGCGGTTGCTCATTTTAAAACCCCTGAAGCATCCCCGAATTGAGCGTCACTGAGATACTACAGGTAACGAGCAGCTGGGCCAGATACAAGAGCATCCTGGCCGCACCTTATGGAACCACATTAAACCTCATGGAATGCAGGTTCAGAATTTGAGAGTCCATTGTCGTGAAAATGCCAGTGTGCCTGTGGAACCCTATGGCACCTCGTTAGGAGAAGGGACATGATTAACTCTTCGAGGCTATTAGGGACGTCAGAGGAATTGGGGGGGCAGTGTGAGCAAAGTGTATTTCCTTGGAAATACATGGGGGTGGAGGAAATGAAAATGACCCACCTGGAATGCAGCCTTTTGAAGCAGAGACCCATTGCCGCTCGTCACGGGCAGTTCAAAGACGCCCCCGGCGTCGGAAGGGTGGACAAAACTCTTCTGGCCTGGGCTAGCTCTCAGACGAGGGTTTGCTGAACTTACACTGGAGGAAAATCCCCGAGTGGGGTTTGGAAGTAGGTCCACGTTGGAGGAGGGGCTCTCTGGTTAGCTTAGTGGCGTGTGTGGGCAGGTTCTTCTATCGGGCTTAATGTGTTTTCTCCGTAGTGATTCTACCTGGAGATTTCCTGGTCAGAAGGGAGACAGAGAGAAACGTGTCTCCGCCCAAGGGAGGCGAGGGCCGTGACAGCCCAAAGGGGGAGAACGCGAGCAGGGCTAGTGGTGGTCTAAGGAGAGACGGTGGATGGAAAGCTGCTCTTGTGGTGATGTTCTGACTGCCTTCCACATGCCGTCCAGGGACAACAGCAAAGCCCCATGAAATGCTTCTGTCTTGCAGGGGTCTGCATTCACTGTGGACAGCTTTGAGAGCGGCAGTGGGAGAATGGGAATGTTCCAGCAGCTCTCCCTTCCCCCCAACCACAAAAGTACCGAATAACCATGGCAACAACATCCCACCTTGATTAGCGCATCTGGGGCCCACGGACTGGATGGGCACCGAGGGCTCCCCCAAGAAATGGGGTCCCTCCGCCAGGGAGCTGCAGCTGGACCGCCTGCCTGCCTGCATGACTAGTCCCCTGCATTGCCAGGGCTTGGACTCGGTGGTGGGGAGGCAAGAAGCAAGGCAGCAGGTAGGTCCATCCCTCTCCACGCATGACTCACCACCTGCAGCCAATTCCCACGGGCAGGCTTTATTGTCAGCTGCTAATTTTAAAGCAGCACATTTAGTCACTCCAGGCAGCCAGCCAATGGGAATGTGGCTCAGATGCTGCTGCGACCCCCCTGACCCCTCCCCCAAATAGAGCCTTCCCCAACAACAGCCAAAACCCAAGCCCACTCCCCTCGTTTCTCCGCAGAGAGGCAGAGGCAGCTCAGAAGAGCATCGCTACCCTGCAGGGAATCTGGCCTCTCGCGCTACTGAGGGGCTCTGCAGAGAAGCAAACGCTGGGCCCACCCCATTTTGTAATGCCCCCTATGGCTTTATACCAGGGAAGGCTCCCAACACACCGCTCCACAGCGTCACAGTCCGTTTTCATTGCTCCAGCGGTGCAAGGCGACCTGCAAGTAGCTACACTCCTCTAGGACATGCTTGGTAAGGACCTGGCTGTGCCAGTGCCCTGGGCTAAAACAGACTCGCACCCACTCTGCTATGTGTTGCTGCTACCAGCTAACCAGGTGTCCGTTAGCACTAGCAGAGGGCGGTCCCCATTGTTGGGCTCTGAGTGGTCAAGAGGACCCAGATGTAGTGACTTGCCCAATCGCAGCGAGAGCCAGACCCTGCCTAAATAGGGTGGACAGACATCCGGATTTTGACCTGACAGTGCCCAGTCCGAACTACTGACCGGACACCCAATGTCCAATTTCTGTGGATGGGGAAGGGAGGGTGTATGCACATGCACGCACAGCCAGGGACAGGGAGAGGAGAAAGAGCCCTGAGTGGGGGAGAGAGATGAGGCAGGGCCATGTTCTCAGGGGGAAGAGGTGGAACGGGGAGATTCCAGCATTCTTGCTGAAGTGTCTGGTTTTTAACTATTACAAATTGGCAGCCCAATGCCTAAAAGAACCCAGAACTTCAGACTCCCGGGTGTGCTCTACCCACTGTTGGTTTGCTATCAAGAGCCAAGAGAGTTAACGATGGTATAACCTCTTTCACCGTCAAATACCAAAATGCGCGGGGGGTCTCCAGAGATTCTGGTTTATTCCGTTTTTTGGTAAGTGCCCAAACTTTGATCCTCAGTTTTTTGTTCTTTCTTGTGGTTTGATCAATAAATCAAAACAAGCATTTATGTTGAAATTGTGTAATTGAGCAAAAGAAACTTAATTAAACCCCATTGAAGTCTCTCTCCTTTTGGTGGCAAAATCTCAATCTCTTACTTTTGCCAACAGTTTTTCTCTGGGGCAAAGGACAGGGTTAATGTTGTTCCTGGTGTTTGAATGCTAGTCACCTCACCTGTTCTAAGACACAGAGGGACACAAGGTGGAGGCGAGAAAAGGTGGCGGAATTCTGCTTTTCTTGATATTCTTAGAGCAGTGGGCTGCTGGCAAGTCATGAATGGATGCTTCAGTCTGGCAGCAGGCTGGACACAACACCTCTTGCTTGCACCCTGGCTCAGATTCTAAAGTAACAGTAATGTCAGCCAGCCAGATCCTCTCTTGCAGACAGCGCTGAGGCCTAGTTACAGCTGATCTCAGGAGCCAATGAAAAGCCGAGAAAGTCAGAGATGAGATAGGAGCAGTGTTCCCTGTAAGCTCTGTGCTTGGACAGCCACCCAGGAGAGATTTAGGGGCTACCCAGCTCATTGGCAGAGCACCCACAGCCAGCAGTATGTGTTTCCATTGGTGGTGCACATCCACACATACCTCAGTGCACATAAAATTTATTCCACACATGGATGGAAAAAAATTAGAGGGGACATTGGATAGGAGGACAAACAGTTGGGCAAAAAGTAACACAAAAAGCGGTGCTGACAACAGGACTCAGATGAAAAACAATGACCCTTAAACAAGAACCAGGCTTCTTGGGGAGAAAGTCTTTCGGATGGGTCCCTTCCTGCTGTCATGGGCTCAGGAAAGATGAGATGAGCTGGGACAAAGGTGAGATGATTTGTCAAAGTCTCCTTTTAAGGCCCCCCAAAAGGGGAGACCTAGTTCATCTCAGTATTTTGTCCAGCAATTAAATCCATTTGACTTCACTCCAACATTTTTTTCTCTAACCTTAACGCAGTCCTTGAACCAGAGCAGTAGACTGTTTTCTTCGGACTTATTTACTCTTGCCGTCTGGTTTCCTTGCACTGCTTAGAACATTCATTATTGAAAATATCTTGACCTACTTTTCATGGTTAATCCCTAAGCAGGCAAAAGTTATAGACTTAATTGTTACAACGCCACAGGGCACTCACCCTCCCTTCATTGGATGGCACCTTGTAGGAGGTTTAATGCGAGTGTCCAGGCCAAATTCCAGCATGGGCTAATTTCACCCTCCTTCCTAACAGGTTCCCTATGGTTTCGAAATACAGCTTCTGCTTTATTGCCCCTATCTAAAAATGCTTCTGCGGGTCTGAATTGCTGGCACGGAACAGCTCCCCTGGTAGTTTGTGCTAATGGGTGACTATAAAGTGCTTTGGCATCCTTCTGCATGATAAACAGAAAGAGCTATTACTGTTTCCTGTCCTGGAGCGGGGGTGGGCAGGGTCCATTATATGGAGAAATGGATCCAG